ATTGTTCATTGTGTCTTAGCGTGGCTGCTTGTCAATTTTAGTAAAGCCTCTTACAATGGTCTAACTGTACAATCTTCAAAAAACACCATTCTCATGGCCCTCGCTGAGCACGTCTACAACAGCCATGACAGCGCTGTTTGTAAGTAAGCCGTCCCTATAGATGTGTTTTGCTGAAGTGGATTAGGATGACGGCTGGACTAATCTAGTTAAACGTGAAGATCCCCTTTGTGAGCTGAAATTCTCCCACACTTCCTGTGGCTCATCCTCTACCACAGTCAAACAATAGCTCAGTGAGGAGCCGGATCATATTAAACACAGAGGACTGTGCCGCATTCACATGTTCCCCCAGTATCTCAATAAGTGAGTAAAACCAGCTAGGCTTTTTTTCCTCACCGAGCAACAAATGCGATTTGGTTTACAGAGGGAGTGACAGAAAATCAACTGACGTATTTTTATGAAAAATAACATCTGTTCAAACAGCATTAAATGTCTAGGTTCAGCAGTCGCAGACTGACATGTAAAACGCTGTCAGTTTGGGCTAAGACACCGTGAGCTAGCATGACGAGGGAACTAGTATACTAGATTTCCTTCAGGACTTTATTTCTGATCAAAGCGCTACGGTGTGTGACCTTTTTGCTATTCAGTGTCATGTGAGGATGGCACTTGTTGTGCTCCGAACCTTTTGTTTTCGCCTTAATGAAAGTAAAGGCCGGACGTGCTGGGAGCAAACACTAAATGTCACCACTAATCGACCAGGATTACATGACAAATTAAAAAAAACAGCCACTGGGCCACAAGTAAGAGTAATAAGAAAGCAATCCAGAGTCATTCGAATTTATTTGAGCATTTATCTAACTATATTTCATTTTCAGATTGGAGTGGCTTTGAATTAGCATTCAAGAAAAATGCGTCCGAGCTTAATGTATTAAGTGCTTCCCAGTTCCCAACACATCCAAGAGAGAGCGCAGTGGGAACGGATCGGTTCCCGGACAGTCACGTGACCCGAATTGAATCCTCTTCAATCTCCCTTTGTCATGTTCACCAACAATCACATGACACCAGTAAGCAGAGCAGAAAGGATGACGGGCTGTCATTTAGGACGGCGTGATGGATCACCCTGTGATAATGTGTCATTTTACCAAACCACAAATTAGGCCCAAGTCCATATATTAGCAGATGCGAACAATCGGCCACAGTATGACATATTGATTCATTTTGAAATACACATTGACATAATTTGAAAAGGTTATATGGTGAGGCGAAGAAGGCTCGAAAGGCCAAAACATGACGGATGGGGTTGTCGGGCGTGTGCACAAACTCGTACGGCGCACTGATTCACTCTGAACAAATGTAGAAACACACTAAGCGAACAAATTCACTTTTACTCACTCTCTCTGTAACACACACGCACACGGTAGCGAGTCCCAAGGGTGTTTAGTCTAATTACCCCTCTCAGTCATGCTGTCAGACAGGGGCTTAGGTGTCTCTTAATGTGAGTGCAGAAGGCATTAAAAGAACACAGAAGCCTGAGGCTGGATGGTGCGATATAGATCCACTCAGACCTCCAGAGGCTTCAGACAGCAGCGTTGGAAAACTAACCCCTGTCCCTTGTAAAAATGGCCCTGAATGATCGCCCCACACACACTTCACACGCTCACAGTGACACGCAAAATAAACATTGATACCTTTTTTTACTTCCTTGCTTAACGAGAAAACTTCCCACCTTTGTGATTTGTCTACTTTATAAACACTCCACGTTTTATCATTGTGTAATGGGAACACAAAAGCCCATGTAATACTCATTAAATGGAGAAACTACTTTCATTTTTTCAGTTCTCAGCACTGCGGCACAGAGGCCCGTGACGTGTAACGAATCCGCTATGGCAAAAGCGAACTGTTAGAGATGATTTGTGTACTGTTTGAACTTCTGTAACGCAATATGATTTGTTTGAAAAACCGTCCGTAATGTTCATCTGTACTGTCTTGCCTGCTGATTGTATTATTGTGGCCCTACGGGCTGCCCATAAATCTGTCCGACTGCCATACTAATGATGGCTGAAAAATTCCTGTGTTCCATATGATGTGTGTGTGTGTGTGCTGTGTAATGCACAGCAAGACAAAGGAGAGAAAGAGAGAGTGGGGATTGGTTGTAATGGGCATAACATAGACATAACATAGAGTGAGAAGAGAGGCAGGAGTGCTTTTAAAAGCTGACCTTCTCTGACCCGTTCTCTCTCTCTGGAGAATATGACATCCGTCTCCGGCACAGCGCACGCAGGTCAGAAAGACCTGTTTGGCTTAACATAAATGTATAAAACTACACTTTTTGCAGTTAAAGCCTCATTAGGAGGCTGAATGTTTTTATATTTAGTTGTTCTTTGTGCATCTTAAATTTAAACAAATGTTAGATGCACACAAATGTGGACTCAATAATTCTGCTAAATAAACTTAATGTAAAATATATATTTTTTTAATTTAATTTTAAAGGACACCTTTTAGAATAAAAATAAAATATAACTTACAAATTGTCAGGGATTCATCACAGTCACTTCAGTCACCATCCAGGATAATTACCCGATCACAGTCACCTGAGTTCTGATCACCCGCACCTGCTTTCACCAATCAAGCCACACTACAAATACACACACAGCACAGTCACTCACTGTCCGGTCTACCGTTCACTCCTACGAACTTCTCTGGACTCTCTCTGCCAAATTCTCCTAGAACGAATTACCTGCTGTTCCTCCCGCGATCCTCCAACGACTCCTTGGAAACTGTTCCACGATCTCCAACGTAACCGGCATCCGATCCTCACCATCAGAACTCAGATAAGCACCCTGGAACCATTCACTGTGTTGACACTCACCTGCCTTTAACACACCTATTCCAGTCATCCCCTTACCCAGTCAATAAACCATCCTGATTTGCACTTACCTGTTGTGTCTGGCCTTGCTTTGTGACAGAAGACCGGACCATAACAAATACCTCAATGGATCCTCGACCTCCCACACCCGCAGAAGTCCTGGAGGAGCTGGTAAACGCCCTCCGGGCTTCTCTGCTTCCTCCGGCAACCCTCCAATCTGCCTCTGTAAGTCCCATGGCCATGCCTGCTTCCTACGCGGGTGATACAGCTGAGTGTGGCGGCTTCCTCCTGCAAGTGGCCTTGTTCATCGAGATGCAGCCGCAGAAGTTTTCCTCCGAACGCACTAAGGTAGCATTCCTGATATCACTTCTTACTGGAAGAGCGCTATTATGGGCTAAGGCCATATGGAACGCTAAAAGTGCCATAATTAATTCCTATGATGCCTTCACTAACCATTTCAAAGAAGTCTTTGGTCACACAGCAGGAGTGCTATCTGTGCCCGAACAGTTACTGCGGCTGCGCCAAGGCATATCTTCCCTGGATGACTACACACTGCGGTTCAGAACGCTGGCGGCGACTAGCGGGTGGAATGAGGTGGCTCTACTTAGCGCTTACCGGCACGGATTGAATCCCCGTTTACAAGCTCAAATGGCTATCTATGATGACTCCGTGGGACTAGAAAGCTTCATGCAAAGGGCCAACCGAATTGCCCAGCGTCGTTCCGCATGCCACGCCACCGAAGCCGCCCACCAGCCTGTTAAGTCAATAAACCATCCTGATTTGCACTTACCTGTTGTGTCTGGCCTTGCTTTGTGACACAAATACACCATTTTAAAAGTAATACATTTTATTTATAAATTAATATGTTTTACTAATTAATCCAGTGCATCATGAAATCTGAAATTTGATCACAATTAGATTCTGATATTTCGCTGTGCAAGACTTTCTTTAATGAGGAAAAATTGTGCACATTTTTGAATAAAATCTGTCATCAAATATAGAGAAAATGTACTATTTAAAAATAATACATTTTACTTGTAAATGTATATCTGAATATAGGTGTAAATAATTGCTTTGATGTTCGATTTGATTACTACAATTATTTTCTAAATAATTCAGTGCATCAGGAAATCTGATATTTGCCCACTATTTGGTTCTAATGTTTTGGTGCAATTCATAAAGTGTAGAGGGTCAATTTATATGCAGATGTATATTATGGATTTTTTAACAACTGAACAGGTTATTGTATAGTATTTTGGATGTGCAATACAATAGGTATTGTTCATTGCATATACTGCATTGTCATTGTCAACATTTTTTCCATCCCGTCTTTATGTTTAGATGCAAAATAATTTACCTTCCATGGCGTCTGTGCAAAAAAAAAAAAGGGTTAAAAATAGAACAAAATGATTTTACAAGAAAATATTATGGAAGTTTTTCTTCTTCAAAATATGTTAAATTCTATGTGTTACTTCTGTGTTACTATGTGTAACTAAAATATATTTTTAAAAGTAATACATTTTATTTATAAATTAATATATTTTATTTGCATAAATTTGTACATATTTAATTTATATATAACTATTCGGTTATTTACTAAATCCTGTGCATCATCAAATCTGAAATTTGGTCATAATTTGATTCTAATATTTTAGTGTGCAAGATTTTCTAAAAATAGTTTCTTACACCATTTTTTTTCAGGGTTTTTGTGTGTGTGTGTGTGTGTGTGTGTGTGTGTGTGTGCGCGCGTTTTTGTGACAAATGAGGACATACATTTGTATAATGACAAAGGTATGACATAGGTATTACAAGGAGAAGGTGACTTTTCAGGACATTACCCCATGTCCCCACTTTTCAAAATGCTTATAAATCACACAGAATGGAGTGTATTGAAAATCTGAAATAGCACAAAGTTTCCTGTGAGGGGTAGGTTTAGGGGTAGGGTTGGTGTAGGGCAATAGAATATACGGTCTGTACAGTATAAAAACCATTACGCCTATGGGATGTCCCCACTTTTCACAAAAACAAACCTGTGTGTGTGTGTGTGTGTGTGTGTGTGTGTGTGCGCGCGTGCGCGTAGGATAAAGAACCATAAGTGCATTTAGAGAAGAATGAAAAGAGATGCCAAAGCTTCAGGTGAGAAATTAAAAATATTAGCATTTATTACAGCGACATGAAGAATGTCAATGCGTACACCCTTTTTTGCGAGCTCATAGAGACCTGCAGTGTGTGGAGAGATGGGCACATAGCTTACAAAAGAACAGAGATCATTCACAAAGGATCAGTCCAAACACATGTACAGAGCCGGGGCAGAACAAAAGACAACGACTCGATAGATAATTTATAAGCAAGATTCATCTATCACCTTCTATCATATTAACAACATTCCACATCCTGCCACTAACACTGTTTAGTCACACAACCACCTGCTTTGATTTATTTGGTGAGCAGATATATAGATAGAATTCTTTACTTAGCTGTATTTGCAAAACTGGAAGTTTTATGTTGCAGTAGTAAAAACTGGAGCTTATGTTTTATTAATGGTCATTAATATCGCCACTATCATCATCATCATCATCATGTTTTTATTATTTCAATGCAATTTTCTGCAGCCAATTTTGCCACATCAGCATATTGCCTCCCTAGACAGAGTTGAATAGATTTAATTTTGGATTGGAAAATGAGCATAAAAATGGATGAGTTTCTGGCCTTCTGGAATTACTTTACATATTGAAATCTCAGATTTAGTGTATAAGGTTCATTAACAATCGCAGGATAGAACAAATGAATTCATCTAAATGCATAATCACTTGTTTAAGGAAGTGTTTTTCCTCTCCCTCGGTAAAATATGCATGGGAAAAAAAAAACTATGTATTGTTTTAATGTATTGTTGTTTATGCCATTTTAATTTGAGGAACTAAATATGTGACCATTTTAAACATGGTTCGAGATGTCATTTTCAGGATTTTCACCTTTTATGAAAAGTATCCAGTTATACATATTCTAATAACAGAAGATGATGGCTTTTCCTTAAAAATTGACAAAAGGAAGAGTGGTTATGTGTGCTTAGTTAAACCCACACGGAATCTGCGGCTACAGAATTCTGACATTTTATTTATTTATTTTTCCATTTTCAATGAGCTTTGAATAAAGATATTTTAGCATATTCAAATCCTTTCAGCAAAATTCTCCAGAATGTGGAAGAAAAACCCCTACAGATTCCAAGCAAGTTTTTGCGATTAGTTACAGCGTTGTGCTGAAGCATCGAAACAATCAATGACATAAAAGAAATCAAAATGTGAAATGACGTCAGGGAATCATGATTTGAAGTATGATTATCTCTCATTACCATCTGTTCCTGTATTTATGTCTCATATATATTTAAATAAAACAGGTAGACTTCTACTTTACAGAACAACCTCACTAGTACAAAAATATACAGTGCAGCAAATCAGTCTCGGTAAAGTTAGCATGAGGAATTTAGTTCGCCCCAATAGAGTCTCCGTCCCTGTTCCACACGGATCGAATGCGTTTCCACAAACAGCAGACTAAAACAACACGTCGAGCCTGGCTTTTACATCGAGCTCCAGCTTCTCAGTGACGCAATGATAAATACTATATACATTAAACTTCATGATATCGTTTCTAAGGGGAGGATGAGAAAAAGAGAGAGAACTGCACAGTTAATAAGGCATCTAAAGTCAAGCAGCTAAGGGCACCACTTGAGTGAAAAAACTGCAGTCACTGTCACCGGTCAATCAAAGATGAAGCTTAGGATCCATGCTACATTCCAGAGATGAGTTATTATCGCACATCGGCAAACGACGGTGATAACGGCCACTTCCTCCTCTTCATACTAAATAAAGGTACATCATTACAAACATTCTAGTTTTTCGTTTTTGTCTTCTTTTTTTCAAATCAACACTGTACATTTTATACACTATAGTACAATAGTCGTCACGCACTACGAGTGTAAACGTAAAGACGATGCGAACTTCGTAATGACGAAAATGACCTTTCGAAGTCATCTTTGCTTGATCTGACGTGCACAAACTTTGCAGTGGTACAACATGTTGGCATATCTGTGCCAGCGAATGGACAGAAATGACATTTCTATTTTCTGGAAGTGTGTTTGAGAAGTCAAACGGATTCTTATTCAAATGCTTGCAACACGGCGATGAGTGACGAGCAATTATTTCTCAGCTTGTCTCGTCGTCCTGTGCAAGGCACGGCCTTCGTCTTCGTCGTCGCAGATGCTTTCCGGCCATCTTTGCTTGTGGAACGCAAACCTCTGTCGCCTTTTCGTCTGAATTCTGGGACTTGAATCCATCTGTGCTCAAATGCTCAATTATGACAAAATAAATATACTAGAAACATCTTCTGATATTTTACTGTGGCTTATAAGTGATGTAGAAGGACAGACTGATATCCCAAACATGGATTTGAGGAAAAACAAAACAACAACAGTCCGACCTCTGATATGCAAAACGTCAAATATTAAATGCAAATGCTGAAACTGTAAAACACAAGCTGTGAATTCTCCCTAATGTGTTTTTGTTCCTTTTTTGTTTAATAACCATACTTCATATCTGATTTGCCGTGGCCTTGTCAAGCGATTGTAGATCGGTCTCGGTGTGTTCCTCTGGCTGTAGGAAGCTCGGACGTGCATGGATGGAAGCCAGAGTGCTGACAAAAGGGTCGTTTGCAGAAACATCCAGGGTGAGAAGTGTACGGTGAAGCTGCTGATAGGGACTGTGGTGGGAGCAGTTGGTAACTCTCTCAGTCTGTACGCTCTTGAAGGCTTGTTATACTTGCACGTGTGTCCCCTGTGCGTGCAAACTCTGGACGGCCGAGAGAATCTTCTTTTGGTGCCCGACCAGAGTCACACCCATCTTGCTTAACTCACTGAGGAAGGAGGGAAAGAAAAAAAAAAGGTTCAGGAAATCATTTAATTTTGGATTCAGTTTATTAGTAGTTTGGTTATAGAAACAATGATTAAACAACAATATATTTAAGAGTAGTATAATTTCTCTGATATATCATGTTTCTAAGTAATTGTTTTGATGTTTGATGTTTAATTTACTGCAATGTGGAGCATGATTTTTGAACAAAAGAGATTTATTTGTGGGTGGAGCTACCCGACACTACATTACAAAAATACAAACCAAGCGACAGTTTCCCATTAACAGCTGCTGGTTGGGACAAAAATATGAATTCTGAATCACAGAGAAATCCTAAAAAAATCATGATCATGTCTATATTGGTTAGAGCACTATGTTAAAGCAAACCAAGAGACTTGTATTATATTATAGCAGTATTATTTTATAGTATTTTCTGTTTAATTATTTTTCTATTTTCTGTAATTTTTTTGTGTGTGTTCTTGTCATTCTTATTCGTTTTTTTTTTTAACATGTCTGTATAGGTTTTATTAATTTTTGCTTTAGTTTTAGTAAGTTTAGAATATCAAGATAAACTAAACGAAAATGAGAAATGTCAACTAGCTGAAATAAAATAAGTTTAAGTTTTTTGATATTTTATTTCAGTTAACGTTTATTTTATTTCAATTAATGATTTTTTAAAAATGGTTTTAGTTTTAGCTTACTATAATAACCCTGCACTACCCTGCACTATTTTATTTAATATTAAAAAATATACAATTTTTAATTATTATTTAAATTATTTTAATAAATGCAATTTATTCCCGAGATGGCAAAGTCCCAGTCTTTAAAAATAAAAGTATTAAATTATTTTAAAAATAAAATCAAATAATAAAATACAATAAAAATAGGGTCTTCCTACTTGCCAAAATATGTGTTTATGTGTGTTTATACACTACTTTTGGGTTCACAAGTATACTATTGGTATACAAACTTACCACATGCTGATGTACAGTATGGAATCTAGAGAAACGTAGCCTGTGCTGGCAAAGTTGTCTTTGTACTGGCCCATATTGATAGCGTCCAGCCATTCATCCACCGTACTCACACTGAACTCTGGGGTGGTGGGGTCTTCCCTGAAAAGGAAATTAAATTTGTATCAATTGCGGTTTGCTTCACTGCGAAAGCATTGAGAACTGAGCTGGAAAACTGGTCTTGCATTATATATCATCTATGGAGATGCAGGATATAGTATTAGGGCTTCAGCTTCAGGCCTACAGTTAAGAATATCTAATCAAACTGTCACTTGTTTTTCATTTCATGATAGTTTAATGATCGCCTTTTTTCCGAACCAACAAAGCAAGCTGATCCAAGAACTTTCGACTAGGGAATACAGCAGTTTCTTCCGAGAGCCGATATCTTAAGCAATTTCATGAGGAGAGGATACAAGTTCAGGAGTTGCAGTTTAGGTTAAAACCTATTGTGTTGCCTTTCCGTTCTTCATGACAGACGGGTTAGGTTCACACTGCTGAGTGACAGCAGCATTTGAGTGAAAACCGGGGGTCAATTCAATCTCAGACCCGGGATGTATTTAACGCCCTCGTTCTTCTTTGTCCTCTTTGGACACAGAGGGATTAAATGACTGGCAGGTTGGGCTGTAATCAGAGAGACTGTGATGGGCTTGAGGAAGCGTATATCTCAAGAAGGGCTCTGAGTCACTGGCTTTACGGCTGTAATGTGAACTCTGCCTCTCCTTCTCCAGCGCTCCTGATAAACCGCAGGTGGAGGGAGAGTCTGCGCTCTGTCTCGTGTCAGGTTTCACAATGGGGGTTCAGGCTATCTATACGACTATGTCTTTTTACAAAGCTGCGAGATGGATGTCTGCTGGAAAAGGATCAGCGACACTAGGTTTGGTTATATTAGACAATATGGAGTTTATCTGCTTGTTGTTTCACATAAAACGAAAGATTTGAGAGTTCATGGGGCAGACACCGAAAAGCTGGATTGGATTTTCTCTGGATTTATTTGAGCTGTTAGGGATTTGCTTTTGTGTCTTTTAAATGTTTTATCTGTACATCACTTTAAAATAGACAATCCTTTGGTTTAAACTGGTGTTGTCCTTCGTGTTTCATGTTTCCACCACATTATCAGGTTTTTCACAATTGAAATCATTAACCCTGAGTTAACATAATCTTGGGTTAGCTTGATCCATGTTTACACTGATCGTACTATTTGTACACACTGTACATGAGGAAAACCTTGGGGTAGTTTTCTAATTTGCAAGTCTTGCAAAGAGGATGTGACATGTTTGCCATCACTATTCATCATAACCTCCCTCAGACACTTGAATTCATTTAAATAATAATGCATTTTCATCCCATTGGTACTTTTCAGAATATATCTAACAACATATAGTAAAGTTTGCTTTTAAATAGGGATGCACCGATACCGATACTGGTATCGGTATCGGGCCCGATACTGGTCTCCTGTACTCATACTCGTACTCGTTAAAATGCCCCGATACCAAACACCGATACCACACAGCATGTGATAAGCGCCATATTCAAACAAAGAAACACCAACAACAGAACAACAGACAGCAGAAAGGAGTTAAGGATGTCTACTACGAAGTATATGTATGCAATGAATATAATGTTAAACATTCAGTATTAACGCCTGTATAGCTGGTGTGCGCGAGCTGATAAACAAATCACACTGAGTGGATTGAGCGCGTGGCGGCACAGATGCGCGAGCTTGTCGAGTGAATATATCTTTCTCACAGACATCACTGGAAAGTTTGTAGTTCGGTCGGATATGTCAAAAACAAGTAAGTAAAACAATGCACAAGTTACTTAATGAAGTTAACCAACTAACATTATACATACCCTTTTGGTTTCTGTACCCAATATTTAAAAAATGTACAAATGCAATACAAATATCGGTATCGGTACTCGGTATCGGCAAGTACCAAAAATAAAAGTATCGGTATCGGGCGAGTACTGGAAAAAGTGGTATCGGTGCATCCCTACTTTTAAAACAAGAATAAATTGCCAATGGGGTAAGAAAAAGGAATAATTTGAGACATTCCCTGAAAATGAGCCTTCCCTAGTAAATGTGTATTAACTTATCTTTCATTTATCTTGTTTTAAGGATGTTAAGATACACTACCTTTCAAAGGTTTGGGGTCTGTAAGTCTTTTTTTTTTTCACCAAAGGCTACATTTATTTGATCAAAAATGCAGTAAAAACAGTAATATTGTAAAACATTATTACAATTTAACTTTTCTATTTTAACATATTTTAAAATGTTATTTATTCCTGTGATGGCAAAACTGAATTTTCAGCAGCCATTACTCCTGTCTTCAGTCACATGATCCTTCAAAAATCATTCTAAAATGCAAATTTCCTGCTCTAGAAACTTATTAATTTTGAAAAGAGTACTGCTTAATAGTATAAACAAACAAACAACAACAACAAAAAAAAAAAACATGATACCTTTTTTTCAGAACAGAAACTTCAAAAGAACAGCATTTGTCTAAAATAGAAATCTTGTGCAACATTATAAATGTTTTTATTGTCACTTTGGATCAATTTAATGCATCCTTGCAGAACAAAAGTATAAATTTCTTGCCAATAAATAAATAAATAAATAAATTGTACGGACCACAAATTTTGGAATGGTAATGTATATGAACTTATCTTTAATTTACCTGGTATTCCAGGGTCAAAAAGTGGCCTTAAAGGGATAGTTCACCCAAAAAATAAAATTTGATGTTTATCTGCTTACCCCTAGGGCATCCAAGATGTAGGTGACTTTGTTTCTTCAGTAGAACACAAACGCGCCGGATGTTGTGAACGCGCTCAGGACAGTTGGACATTGCGGTGGATCAGAGGTAAAAAATTATATAAATACTGTTCAGTTTCTTGCACAGACCGATCATTTCGTGTCTTAAGACCTCAATGTATCGTCACCAGCCGTAGGGTTTAATTTGGTTTTGTCTGTGTATGTTTTTTGACTCTCAAAGCCATGGGACCCATTGACTGCCATTATAGGACTGAAAGACTGCAATGGTTTGAGTTAAAAATCTTCGTTTGTGTTCTACTCAAGAAACAAAGTCACCTACATCTTGGATGCCCGGGGGTAAGCAGATAAACATCAAATTTTCTTTTTTGGGTGAACTATCCCTTTAATGCAGGGTTAAAAACAGAGTGAAAATCATGTGTATGCACAAATATCAGCTGAATTTTAATGAAGTGAGGGTTCATATGAGTTTCTCACCAGACTGAGCTGTTGGCGAGCTCTTTCAGACTGTTGGGGTTACGGATCAGTTTGTCAAGAGTGTTGACGATCTGCCCGAATTTGGGCCGTTCACTTCTGCTCTTCTCCCAGCAGTCCAGCATCAGCTGGTGGAGGACAACAGGACAGTCCATCGGAGCGGGCAGCCTGTAACCCTCATCTATAGCTTTAATCACCTGGAAGACAAAGACATGCATTAAAAATACAGTACAATACAATGTGCATGTGCAAATGTATATTTAAGGACAATTTCTATTTGATTTCCCCATAAAGCTACTTTAGTAGCTGTAACCTTATTAAGGTTACTTTCTTTTCAATGTCGTTGCTAATTTTGTTATTGCAACTACAAAAAAAAATGCATTAATATAGGATCTTCAAACAGTTTTCTGAACCTTTCTGTCCTTTTGTTAGACTTTTTAGCCTTTGAAGACAGTATTAACAGTTAACATCAAGCCCCTGGTATTCTATTATGGTGAAAACTATGGTTACCATGGTATATTCATGCAAGTAACATCACTTTTACATTTCCATAACATACCAGACTATAACTCAACTCAATGGTTTAAACATCTTCTATATGACTATAATTAATTGCTATGGTTAAAACAGCTCCTGTTCTCTGCCACTTCCTGTTCTTAAATCAAAGGAACTATTTCTTTTAGACAGGAAACATTCTAACATTAATTTCGTTGTTTCAAAATGAGCACTGAAGATCTAAATCATTATCTGCGGTGCCCTGAAGGTCTTGAAGATTCTTTTGACATTTCCTCTGATGGTAATAAAGGGAGAAGTCAGAGAGCGTTAGCATAATACAGCAGCGAGGGATGAAGTGTGTTTAACTGGCTTGTATTAAAGGCAGGAGCAGCTGGACAGTTCTCGTTTATGAGGCTCCTAAAAACCATTGTCATTCGAGCGGTTGCTATACAGACATCACCACAGGAAGATGTCTGTTACTCTCTGAACGTTTGCAAGGACACACTGCTTGGAACCCCCCGAGAGGCTTCAGTGGAAATTATATTAGCGGAGATATTAGATATTAGTGGAGCAGATTTCAATTTAAACAATACACACGAGAACACGTGTGTTTCCAGTTTCTCAAGGACACTTACGTCTTGATTAGACATCTCCCAATAAGGCCGCTCTCCATATGAGATCACCTCCCACATTACGATGCCGTAACTCCAAATGTCGCTTGCTGAGGTGAACTTCCTGTACGCTATAGCCTCAGGGGCCGTCCATCGAATGGGAATCTTTCCGCCCTAAATAAGAAAAAAAAAAAAAAACGAGGGTTTTTTCACTTCAAGTACTTACTTTGGTGTCCTAGGGGCTGATTTTTTTTTTGTTTGTTTGTTTAAACTAACCGATTTCATTTTTTTGTTGTTGTTATATCATATAAAGGACACTAAAAACATTTTGTAGATTTTATTGTTTTACCCTTGTCCCAAACCCAGATCTTCAATCTTAAAATATGAAAATCCATCAAAAAAAAAAAAAAGGATTATTACCAGTTAAAACTATGATCATCTAAACAAATAAAATGAAACTGTTTTATTATTTATTGTGTGGGGGAAAAAAATAGCATTTTCAATAGTCATCCCACATATTTGTGGCATCATTTCCAACAAGTTTTCTCAAAAATTAGTGTACTTGATAACCAAAGAGATAATACAGTCAGTTAAGAGCTTGAGATGAAATATGAAACGCATGACATAATGAAAACAAAGAAAATGTTTAATTGTGCATCATTTTCATTCAAGCTGTAACAAGTTATGCAGAAAGTGTGAAAATAAACACACATCATTTAAAAGTTTGGGGTCAGTAAGATACTTTTTTTTTTTTGAAGAAGAAATTAATATTTTAATTCAGCAAGGATACATGAAATTGATAAAAATTTATTCTGTCGAAAATATTTTAATAAACTTATCAACCTCAAACTTTTGAATGGTTGTCTATGGTTTAATATGGTTGTCTATGGTTGGACAATATTTGTCTTTTCCTATTCCAGCAATATGGCAGGGTCTGTATTTTCCTAAATGTCTTTTTAAATAGCTGCAGTGGTTTGTAGTTAATCTCTATAGTCAAAGTCAAACAAAAGACAAACTGGCTGTACTCTGTATAGACATACGTGATGAGAGTGCCAAAGAATAGCAGTGGGGCCCATGGGGTAAAATCATTTAAAGAGAATTTCAAAAAGCAATCTTTACAATTTTTTAATTATATAAAGTCACGGCACATAAACGGCTGCCTCGCGTGGCCTGGAGGGTTTTGTCTCTTCATGATTTCAGCACTTGAAGCAACAGGGCACGGGGTGCTGAATGTCAGAGCCACTTATATTTTAAGAGTTCCTCTCTGTGCGAAAACACATATTTTGCCTCAAATGCGCACACACGGACAACAAAAAGCAATCTGCGGGGGTCTTTTCGGGGTTGTATGAGCACTTTTCTCCCATTTGCATGTGACAGCAGATTCTCCTGATGAGTTTATGCTTTGTCCACCAGAGTGGACACCGACAGCTACACACACACATATGCCTCTTTCTTGCCCTTGGCCTTCATACGCATCCACAGGGTGCTCACCAATTACCGAGCTGAGAAGGAGAGAGAGGAACGAGTGTAGGGGGTTTGGAGGCGGTTGTCCTGTCAAAAACGGATGTAATTAATACATGCTGGGTTGACAGAGAAACTGACCCCTGAGAAAGCCAAATCGCTTCTCAAACATCCCTCCTCTGTCTCTTTCTTTTGGTGTCTTGGTGAAGTTCTTTCACACAATCAAACACTTTCAAAAGACATGAGAGACATTTTCAAGGAGATCAGAGACATTTCAATCATTATTTCTCAACTGAGGGCTCATGGAATGAGTCAGATTTACCGTATTAAGCAAAGACAATGATAAAAGCTAGCTCTGAAAAACCATTAAATAACAACTAAAGTGGGACTCAGATTTATACTGCAAACAAGATGTCAAAAAAAAAAAAAACAGCATTAATTTTTTATCCGTTTAGTTCTTCCTTCATTCCCTGTTTCTGTAAAATTGATGATGACTCACTCTAGGATCTAATAAAACCTTGAGGGGGGAAATGTGCTTTACCCGTGTGGTGTATGCCGCTTCAGGGTCGTCCTCTAGCACTCTGGACAGGCCAAAGTCAGACACTTTGCACACCAGGTTGCTGTTCACCAGGATGTTGCGTGCCGCCAGGTCACGGTGGACGTAGCTCATGTCAGACAGATATTTCATTCCCGAAGCGATTCCACGCATCATGCCCACCAGCTGAATGACAGTGAACTGCCCATCGTGTTTCTGCAAGAGAAAGAGAAGGCATCTATTATTATTTGTAGATTGTACAGGTGGTGTACACTGTTCAAAACAAAGGTTTGAAAAACTTGAAAATGTTATCCTGTGGCAGCAGGATGCAAAACTGGTTCTAACTGGAACCATTATTTTGTTTTTATTGGCTATTTTAATATGCAGAGGCAACTTATGTAATATATAATATCAGATATCATGAACTAGCAACATAGAACATTTTAAGGTGTCCTTGTTACAGTGCAATTATAAATTTAAGTACTGAGTAATATTAATTAACTACATGTACTTACTATATGGTTAGGATAAGGATCAGGGTTTGGCTTAGGGTTACTTGCAAGTAATTATGCATAATTTATTGTAATTATAATAGTAAGTACATGTAACGTGTAACAAGGACACCTTTAAAATTAAAGTGTTGCCAACATAAATTGCGTGTGTGTGTCTGTATAAGCTAAATATATACATTCAGTAATAATAAAAAATAATAATGATTAAATGTTTTAATGTAGTCAATTTGCTATATATTAATATATTTTACTTTTATTTCTGTTGAAATTTTTACATTGCATTATTCAGAAAATTATTTCTATTAAATTATTATATGTATATACTGTATATCATTAGCATTATATATATATATATATATATATATATTTTATTTCTTTTTTGCATTGCATTATTCAGAAAATTATTTCTATTAAATTATTATATGTATATACTGTATACTGTATACATTATATATATATATATATATATATATATATATATGTTGTTGGTAGGTGACACTTATAGGTAATAGGTAATATTTGAAGGCTTTTTTCTGTTAAAATTTTTACATTACATTATTCAGACTTCATGCGTTTTTTCAAACACTCCATTTTCACAGTTCTAATGGTTTTGCACTGAGTTCTGATTCGTTATGCAAAAGACTCTGACCTCTGGTTTTACAGCTCTTTCTGCCATAATTGCTATAATGTTTACAGGCCTTTATTAATGTAAAAATCTGGATTTGGTGCTTCTGTTAACTAATCAAAAGAGCCTGGACATCCATTTTGCCTCAAAAACAATCTTCGCAATGAGCAATTAGCCCAACGTCTTAATCTCCATATGTGGGCAGTACACTAATCTTGTTAAAACCCCACTTTTGTCCCTCCGAGCAATATCAATCTGAAACATGCGCTCGTATAGTATTTCATGTATCATAATTTGGGTAAGTTTATTACGCTGTGTTTTGTGAAATGTGGCTGCTGATTGATCGTCTGGTCTGATCAACTGGTTGTTATCAATCTAGTGTCAGAAGCCACACTACTTACAGAAAGAGCAGAGAGACACAGAAATAGAGACAGAGAGAAATCATTTGTTTTTGTACTAGTAAGTGATGCTTAACTGATCTGTCCTCTAATTAAACACATGTAGCTGGGTGGCCGAACTATGATCTATTAGCCATAAAACTGACCCCATAATTATATTAGCTTTTTATGTGGGCTAAGGGGGTATTTATGGGATTCATTATGTACGCTGCAGAAAGATCGAAAGTCTCAGACAGGCCCTTTTTTAGGGGTGGGGGGTGTTAGATTTCATTTTCATTTTCTCAAAGTGTAGGCAATTAAAAAGAGTCCTGACTTAAAGGAAAACGTATCTGTGCTGCATGTAATAAAACTTCGTGGCCCGATCCGCTGGGTGACAAAGGCGGTAATAAATTATAGAGGATTGCGGGAGACGTTATGGCAGCTTGGTGGAG